AAAAGATATTATATGGATGTGTGAGGACTCCACAACTTCTTACCAACTAGATTAGAAGTTTCCCTGGGCAAACCTTTCTATGAGTACTCTAACAAACTAGTTATTAGAGATTACGGCTTCACACACACATTAAATCATGCAACCACTCTGAGAATTAGGCACCACTGTTATCCCCATGATTTAGATGGAGACCTGGGGCTCAGAGATATCAAATAACTTGCCCAAGGTTACACAACTAGTTGGTGAGGAAACCAGAATTCAAACTCAAGCAAGATGTCTCTGGAATCTTGGCCTAACCTGTGGAAAACAGTCAATGAATTTTAAGTCAATGAACATTGCAAGAATGAAGTCAGTAAACTGTACTAGAAATCAAGATGACCCATTTGGGGTTATATGGAAAACGGAAACTTAGACAACCCAAAGGGCATTCATATTTGATTCTGGATTACAGTTTGGGGGAAACATAAACATGTTCAAAACTCAGGCACTGTCAATCCACTTGTGGGGCACTCCCGAAGGAAGACTTCTTGCTCTAAACTATTCCTGCCTCATGGGGAGGGGACTTGCAAGCTCAACTCAGACACCACAGCCAGGGGCATGCTCTGATGGTCTGGTAGGCTAGAACACAGCCAGCATGCGTTAAAGCGGAGCAGAAGTAAGAAGAGAAGCCAGGCCAAAGAAGCCTGCAGTCTTTTCGGCGGCTTACCTCCCGCAGCTCCAGTCTTTGGGCCACGGCCTCTAGGCTCTCCTGGCCAGTGCTCTCCACAGACAGCGTGAACTCCACAAACTCGTTATTGAGCAGCTGGATCCGGGCAACCAGGCAGCTCTTGCTGGACACGGTGTAGCGCCGGGTGCGTTTCAGTTTCAACCCAAATGGCAGTGGCATCTTCTCCCTTCAAGAGTGGAGGCGTAAAGAGGGAAAAGTACCCCCACTAATCCAGCGGTGGTGACGCCGGGAAAAAGCGATCCTCTCCCAACGGGACAAACACTGTCCTGTCTCCGGCTGCTCACCCAGCAGCCGCTGCCGCCATTAAAAAGCAACTGAGTCTCCAAAGGCCGGGTGAAGGGAACATCCACGCCAGCGCTGAGGAAAGAGGAAGGCTGGTTACATGAGCAATGGTTAACTCTGGACTTTGCTCTAAAAAAAAAAAAATCAATCAATCTGTGCCCAAAGAATAAGCTTTCCCTCTCCACTGGAAAAAGGCGCACTAGCAGGACCTGGGAGGGAGGCAGGGTGGAAATTTATCAACAGAGCTGTTGTTGGGCCGTGGGTCAGACTCCACCCCTCACTTTATTCTACAAATAGTGATAACAAACTGCAGCTAATGTCAGATTAAATGAGATAGTGGCCAGCACTGCTATAATCCCAAATTTAGTAGTTAGCATTAGTGGTTCTCTTCTTATTTTGAATAAAGTATTGTTTTTCCTAGGTAACCTTTACTGGGCTCCCCAATACTCCAAATGTCAAAGTTCTTAAGTCCTTAAATGAGAAAGTGAAGACAACTCCAATCTTAGGCAAATTAACCCTGAAGGCAAAAGGAAGGAACAATCCACTCTAATTTATGGCAGCTGGGAGGTTCAAACAAGGTGAAGTGCTTAACAAGTATTTGTAGAACTCTTTCTGGTTTCTAAGTATTGACGTCATCAAACTGATTTACTTATAAACATCATGAAAGACCCTGTAAATGCTCGTTGTCCAATTACCACTAGAACAAGGACAATTCTGAAAACTCTGGCATCCGGCTCCTCTCCAGGGTTGGGACGCCCAAATCGGCAGTAGACCTACACCTAGGTGGCCCAGTAGAAGAGGCGGACGAGGCCGTAAACTCCATCTGGAGTTAATGAGCGGACGGGATTCAGAAAACCCACGAAGCCACCCCCGTGGTGGAGACCTCAGCCTCAGGCTCCTGCCCGGTCCTCCCCCCAGCCCAGTTAGAGCCGACGGCGTTGCCAGGCCAACAGGTAGTTTGGCAGGCTCCGGAACCCTCCGCCCGCGGCCCCGTTTCTGGACGGAAGCGCTCGGGTAGGACCCGCCCGTCGGCTCCCGAAGGGAACCTTTAAAGGGGCCAGCTCGAGCCCTGCAGGTGGTGGGGATTGGGCGGGATTTGCGTGATGCCCGATTTAGAGCCATAGGACCCCAAAATACGCTAGTTACGATTTTAGCTACACCTGTTGATGGTAACGTCTGAGCTATGGCAAATTGGAAACGAGCGGCAGCTGAGGATTTTTATATCAGCTGGATTTATTTTTCCACTGATGGAGCTGACAAACTCTCGGATGTTTCCAGAGCCCTGGGACGGTTCCCACCTTCTCTCTTCCTCTGAGCGGAGGATGCCCTCGAGGACGAATCGCTTAGCGAGGCCCGGCCGTAGCTGCCTACTATGAACTTGGACCGGAGACCGCGCGGAGGGACTGGCTCTGCCCCTAACCCTCTTAATCTGGCAGACAGAACCCAGGCCTCAGGAGGAGAAGTGGCTTTCTCAGCTCCCCACTCGGACGGACTGAGCTGGGAATCGACAGCTGCTCTGTGCGCTCTCCTGACTGCGTCTCAGCCCCCAGAGGTGATGGGCACCCAGGGCTAGGGAATGGCAGAGCTAGAGAATAGGGTTTAGCTATTACCCTAGGCTTTGCCAAACTTAACATTTTGAAATTCCATTCCACAAATGTGTATTGCATCTCTGGGTACAAGACAGCGTAATGAGCATCGTGAGAAATCCAAGACGAATCCTAAGCCGTTGCTGTCCTTAAGGAGATTACAAGCATGCTATAATTACATACAGAGCTGTATCTCTAATAAGGACCCAACCCACAGTTTTCTCTGACTGGTTTTTTGTTTGTTTAGGTTTTGATTTGGGGCTTTTTGTTTTTGAGCTCTGGTTATCACCCGATAGCCAGGAAAGTAAGTTAAAAACAAGAGATAGAAGGCCAGAGGAAAAAACAAAACTAGAACCACTCAAAGCATTGTGCTAATTAACAGCATTGACTAAGTGCTTTCTGTAGGTAAAAGCACCATACTATAGAGGGGAATAGAAAATAAGTACTATAAAAAGATCAGATCTCGGCCAAGCATGGTGGCTCACGCCTGTAATCCTAGCACTCTGGGAGGCCGAGGAGGGCGGATTGTTTGAGCTCAGCAGTTTGAGACCAGCCTGAGCAAGAGCGAGACCCCGTCTCTACTGAAAATAGAAAGAAATTAATCGGACAACTAAAAATACATAGAAAAAAAAATTAGCCTGGCATGGTGGTGCATGCCTGTAGTCCCAGCTACTTGGGAGGCTGAGGCAGAAGGATTGCTTGAACCCAGGAGTTTGAGGTTGCTGTGCGCTAGGATGACGCCACGGCACTCACTCTAGCCCGGGCAACACAGTGAGACTCTGTCTCCAAAAAAAAAAAAAAAAAAAATCAGATCTCTACCTGCAATAGCTTTTGATGCTCTTTGCTGTTTCAGGGGTATAAACTAAATAGTTGAAGCAAAATGAAAAAAATCAAGAAATGAGAACCTTAGTAAGCTTTTAACTAGAAAATTGCCTGATAAACAGTGTGTAAATTTTAAAAGATTATATATCATATATACTAAACACCCTTTCATGAGATGAGGTGATGGATTTCAATTTTATATACAAATTATGGTAACTGGAAACAGGTTAATATAGGTGAAGAGACAAGATATTGCACAGATGCAAAGGAGAATAAATATTTGTATTAGGGGCTGTTCAAATATGGTAGTCTTTTCACTACATAGAACTATTTCTTGAAGGTAATAGATACTACACTATATAACTTAATTATTAACTTAAGCTCTGATTAAGCAAACTCAGAGTAAAACTTTCAATTGTCCCTGAGACTTGAAATATATTACAGCATAAGGGATAAGGAAAAGTAAACATTTTCTCTTTTATTTTGGTAGATGTTATAATGTAATTGAAAAAGTTGATGTATATCAGGTGCATTTTCCCCCAAGATCTGTCTAGAAGAATGGCTTGCTTTTTGCTTATTTATGTAAAATTCACTGGGTTAAAATAATCTCCTTAATCATTTACAAAACAATCAATGATTTACACATCTTAATTTTCACTGATGTACAGTATTTGCTGCCAAATGATGTCATTGTTATGAATGTTTGAATATTAAAACCAAGAGGAATAAAAATTTTAGATGCTTTTAGGATGTCTGTTTCAGGTGTAAACTGATATGCAATGAAAGGTAGTTGGATCTTCAATTTAACTACTAAACGCAATTTATAAATAGTTTTAAAAGGAAAAAATCTAGGAGACAATTTCTCTACAATACTTATGTAGTAAGAAAACGAATATATCATCTGTACAAGTTTACAAAAGGCAGTCTGAGCTATTTGTTAATTCGTTTTAATTCTTCCTCTCCACAACCCCTTCCAAAAGTTTCTCAAATACACTTTAACTCTCAATCTTGTTTCCCCCCTTGCTGCTAAGGTCCTCACCACATGTAATTTTGCCAGTGTTGCTTTAAAACTATCACTAAAAGAGAGCATATGACATTTTTAGAGTAATATCTGTATCTATAGCATTAAATCAAACCTATGTTTCCCAGGGACAGAACTGGTGCGTAGACACTCGAGAATAAAATGTCCTAGAAACAAAACGCAACTACTTTCAGAGTAAAATTATTGTCGTATCACAAACTTAAAAAAAAAAAAAACCTGTCAGTAACTATTACGCATACAGCGGTTGTCACTTGGAGCACAAGAATGTTTTGAATGTGTTTGCGAGCATACGCTATTATTATAAGGCTTTCTCAGCAAAAAAGAAAATAGGACGAGCATGCCAAGAGTGGCCAATCTAATCAGGATTTGCAGAAATCACAAGTCGGAATTTGCAGATCCAAGAATTCTTTTTTCCAGAGTAAACACTCTTTACTCCAAAAACAAAACAAGGTGTTACCAAACAGTCCTTCCCTATGCCCCTTCTCGCCAAAGTTATCCGGCAAATTTCACATTTACATATTCTGAGAGGCACAAATATGCCTAAATCTTTTAAACCCTGACCCAGAATTAAGTCGCAACAATCGGCTGAGGAGTTCAGAATTGAAGTTCGAGACCCCTTTTAGAAATTTCTCAAGTAGATCGCAGCGAACCTGAAGAAGGAAGACCTTTCTCTTTGTTACGTTCCTGCTATGGGTCTGGCGAGCGTGACCCATTCTCCGGGACTCCAGGGCTGACCGGCGCGCTCCGGGGGTCCCGGCGTGCGGACACACCCCACCGCTCTGCTCGGACGCCCGCCCCGCTCCCGCCGGCCGGGGCCCCGCGCCCTCACCTGCTCCCGCTCCCGCATCCTCGGGGCCGCGCGCCCCGTTCAGCGGCCCGCCTCCCGGGGCCCCGCCGCGCGGCCGCCGCAGCCGCGCCCGCACGCCAGTCCACGCCGCCGCGCGCTCATGGGGCCCGCATGCCTCACTTCCTGTCTCCCAAAACCCGGCCCGCAGACCATTCCCCCGGGCAGAGTCCGGCGACGACGAGGGGAAAGGCCTGGAGGTGGGACCGGCCGGCGAGGAGCGCCGCACAAAGAACCCCGCGGGGGTGGGAGGAGGCAGGAAGACGGACGGACGGACGCGGGACGCGCGGCCAGAGCAGCGGAGCGGCCGGGGCCGGGCGTCCCTCCCCCTGGGCCGGCCGGGCGGACGGATCCGGGGAGGCGGCGGTGGCCGTGACCTCAGAGAGTTGGAATGCGGGCGGCTCGGCACGGGGGAGGCGCGGACAGCTGCGCCCGGCCGCCGGGGAGGGGGCGCGCCGCTGCTTTTTTTAATCGTATGACCACTTATTTTAAGAGTTTCCAAATAAAGCAAGGCTTTTAATATTAAATAAAATGGGGGGGATAGTTTCGGTTCCTGGTAAAGGATTTTATTCCTGTGTTATTATTAGGTGGTCTGTAAAATGCTACTGTTGC